GGTGCGGCTTCTTCACGCCGCCGGTAGCCGGCGCGCTCTTGCGAGCAGCCTTGGTGGCCAGCTGTTTGCGCGGGGCCTTGCCACCCGTGGACTTGCGCGCGGTCTGCTTCGTACGAGCCATAACAGACAAACGCTCGAACCGACGCAAACGACTGAAATGAGTGCGCTGCGAGCAGCATTTATACGGGCGATCCGGTCCTGATTGGTCAAAACTGTTGCAGGCGTGTCCTGATTGGCTGTTTCCGACCACTATAAACGGCCTTGTAAACCCTGCAGTGTTTTCGATTTCCAGCACTCACATTAGCAGCACGGCGTGCTGTCTCAGGCCTGTAATCGCAGGAGGATCATTCTGAGTTCGAGACCAGCCTGGGCTACAAAGTGAGCTCAAGGCAGCCTGATCTGCATAGCGAGTCCCTATCTCAAAAAGACCGGAAAAAAAAAAAAAAAAAAAAAAAGGTTCTCACACTGAAAGAAAATGGGGCCTGATATATGTGGCTGTCACCCCAAGTTTTAAGAATATTTACCTGTTTTAGGTAATGGGAGAAATTATAGGTAGAATAATGTATTCAAGTAGTCTCCCATCCTAACTGCTGTTAATGAAAAACCAAGACCTACAGCAAAAATATTTATGAATACTCAAGAACATTTGTCTCCTGAACTCCTTAAAGTGAGACCCTTAGTTTCTACAGTGATGGGCAGAAAGCGGGGAGGATGGATATGTGCTTGATGCTAATAAGCAGTACTTCCACCAACTGATTTTCGTCCAAACAACTGCTTGAAGCTTCAAACGCGCGAAAATATACATCAACACGCACGGAGCAATAATGTAAGTTTGTATTAGGTAGTAACTACCTAGGGCTTTTGCAGTAAGTACAGTTCCGAAAATGACCTTGGAGTTGGGACGAGGGCTTTAGCGGCCGAAGGGACAAGGTGTTTTGCTAAAGGAATAAAAATCGAAGAATCTGCCTGCAATGCTCTCTGGAGGTAACAATCAGCCGAAATATTTACATGCCTAAAAACTCATGCAGGAATCTATATGGAGGAACCAAGTTAGGATGGTTTGATAGCTGGCTTGTACCAGACTACTCAGTAGCCTTTTCCTAGCCCGAGTAGTTATCGTGCCAAAGGAAATTTTAAGTTACACATGGAAAGCACCTAAAACTACTTGACCTTATATTAAGTGCACAGTTCTTCAAAAAATTGTAGGTGGCTCTGAAAAGAGCCTTTTGGTTCAAGACTCGAGTCTCTAGCTTCCCTAGACTTCACTTGCCCTTGGCCTTGTGGTGGCTCTCGGTCTTCTTGGGCAGCAGCACGGCCTGGATGTTGGGCAGCACGCCGCCCTGCGCGATCGTCACCTTGCCCAGCAGCTTGTTGAGCTCCTCGTCGTTGCGGATGGCCAGCTGCAGGTGGCGCGGGATGATGCGCGTCTTCTTGTTGTCGCGCGCCGCGTTGCCCG